AATGGAAGTAAGCTCAACAATAATGCAATTTAGGCTAAATAGAAATTTTACTTAAAAGTGGATATGAAACCCAAATGATGTAGCATACCAAACAGATTCTTATACCCACAAGTAAACCGAGGCAGATCCTCAATTTGATCAAGTATAAAGTGATTTCGAATCTCTTCACCCAACACTTCCACTTGAAATGGTAGTAAGCTTAGCGTTTTTATTGTGCCAAGACGTCCCTGGCTCACTGTCCTGCGAGCCCGGTGAACCTGTGCTAAGATTTCGTCTGTACCGCCGTGACAGATATTATTAGAGAAAGAATCCATACTTTACTAAATAGAGCAAAAGTATACAAAACTATGTATTTATGCAACCCTAGTCGATTTACCAATCTTAATAGGGCATCCCATTATTGGGTTGGTTACTTCAACCATACTCCACACGCTTGCAAATGAGTGAAGTTACTTCACGAACCACAAGTGACTTCGGTGGCAGCTGTTTCCTTGCGCAAATAAACTAGATTTATGAATTGGGTTCACCCTATTTCGTTTAGGATGATGAAGGATTGACAGTTTAATTTTCCCACAATGATATGAGTAGAGAGTACCGGTAGTTTAGTAAACCTATTCACTCACGAAAAAACAAATAAACCAGCCCAAGATCCTCTGATGTCTATTTTCTATTGTGTGTATGTAGTGTCCATGTGATGAAAGGTGTTTTTGTAGTAGCTTGACTCGAGGCTAGTCCAGCCTTCTTCTCTTGTTCAGTGGCTTTCCTGAACTCCCTCTCCCTCTCCTTAAGCCCATCCAATAGCCAAAAAAAGTTCCTACTCACCTTCCCACGCCCATTCCTCCTAGTCAGGACGTTGGTTCTTTTGATAATTTCTCGTATGTGAGTAGAGTTTCGTTACTACCGGTAAATTTATACAGGCTCCCTAATCTTACGCTTCAGTGGGAAGTCCCCGCAACCCGCAAAATGTTGTGTTTTGGACCAGTCTATTGAGTTTCCTGTATTGGCAAAATGTGTTCAGCGAACTTAGATTTTTGCATCCATATACCTTTACAGGCGGTTTTGTGCCTTCATAATCTCTTCTCGATGGGTCGGCTGGCTTCCCACGACTTACACCTTACCACATAAGCACAAAACCTCGTAGCAGCCTGATCTTGAAAGAGGGTCCGAAAATTCTTTAAACCACAAGAGAATTGTAATTGTCTACAAATCCTAATCGAAACAATGCATGCCTCAATCTAGCGATATCCTGATCCTTGTGGTTTACGTCTGCTAGACGCAAACTCCATATTATCCGTGTTTTCATAGTTCCTTTTTTGACTCTATATGTATGACTGGAGAAGAAATAAATAAGAAAACCCGCGTGTGTGGTTCTTCTATACACGTCTCTACTTTACTTATTACCTTCTTTGCTCACTAATACATCCAAAAAAGGAAAGCTATCTCCATTTTTTAACTCTATAAAAAACTTAGAATTTGCTTATGAAATTCACCAAAACTATCTTTGCCGTATTGCCAAACAGCAAAGTAATCGTCCATATAACGAACCAATAACTTGGAAACCAGAAGTGTCTCTTGAAAGACAGCAAATTCTAATTATGTAAGGTTATTATTGCATAGAATAGAGGTTAAACAAGATCCCATGACCAAGCCCCGTGTCTGCTCAAACAACTTGCCATTGAAAGTAATATATATTTATTATACATTGCCAGATTGACTAAACTATTGATCGTATTTTTGCCTAACGTTTTACATGTTATAATTTCAAGTTGTTTATTAAGAGTTAATTCTAGCACTACATTGCCTCGTTTTTCAGAGTGTTAATGTACGCAGACACCACATCGAAACTTACCAAAAAATCGCCTCTTTCTATCGTCTCATCATAAAGTAACTTAATAAATCGAAGACATGAAGACCAAGATGATGTGGCCTTTAATACGGTTGCAGTCTCCTTTCGCTGTGTACAACTTGTCTGACGTTGTTCTCGCAACTTGGTCATATTGGCAGGAAGACTTAGAGAAACGCACCAAGTCCGGAGTCCATTGTCTGCATGATACTTTCCAGAGTCGGACCGTGGATGTGGTACATTCACAGACGTTTCGCCGGCATCGTCGGAAGTCTTGCTGTTCTTAGCACCAAACTACAAACCGACAAAAAGACAAATGAAGCCGCTGCTAAACAATCAATCGGGGTACCTCTCCTTCCGCCCTGAGCTGATCACCAATCCTATACCCTCGTATCACACCTTCACTATCACACTTTCTTAATGACTGATTTAAATACGGTATGATATGTCATTTTGAGCGGGTTTCATGAGAACTCTCCACACTCGAGGCTGGCTTTCTCACACTCTCACCCCACTTCACTCTGCCCTATTGTTCCGCAGTCCTCCTCCCATAGGCAGTATCGAAGTCGCCCACTTGCTTCGTAGGATCCGTCTGCTATCGCCCCAGTTCAAGCATTTCACTCGACCCCTGCCACCCCATCTCTGCCTCTGGGAGACTAACTTAAGGCTTAAGACCTCGATGAAATCTCATGATCAAGCCTTTGCTTGAAGGACAAAGTCTACAATCAAACACGTCTGTTGTTAGCCAAATTGCTCTAGTCTCCATCGTGTCTAGCCCGTTTCCATCCACAATACCAATTCTATAACATTATATGCCATAGTCTCTTGTTGGTCAACCCAAATGTTCCTTTTTGGTCTCCGAGCGATTTCTTTTCCTAAAATTGAAGAGGTTATCTTGATCCAGTCGTCTTCTCGTTGCTGATCTTAGTGTTTCCTTGTCTTCACCAAATGTGCTTAGGCAATATGCATGACTGATCCTGCCTTCTTCAAGTCTCCTGTCCATTAGATTTCTTCCAGTCCGCATAGCAAAGAGATGTATTCACCCTATTTCGTTGAAGGTGATGAAGATCTGGCAGTCGAATTGGCCCACAAGGATTTCC